AGATCCAAGGTGTCACATTTATGAATGGACTCTAAATGAAAATTATATATATATTGTTTCAACCATAATTATTTAAAAAAAAAGATACGATGTTTTTTTTTTTTTTTTTTTTTTTTTTTTGTTTTTATACTCTGCTCTACAGAAAAAAATCAAAGAGTTCTCTTTGTCTCATAACATGCAGGACATTCCATTGAGCAAGTCCTATTTATACTACTGACAGCTTTGTTTTTCTTAAATGATTTATAAAAAAAGTATAAAATTTTCTTTTGTACGATATGCGAACAAATATTCTATGAATTGTGAAAGTGCATATTATTAATCAAAGTCTTCTATTATTATAGTATAGCCGTTTGTGATTTTGTTAATAAAACAACACAGTTGTTTACAATGTATCGTAAAACTACAAGCTCACGTTACTGTTAAGAAAAAAAAAAAAACAATATACAAATATTAAATTATGTAAAAAAAAAAAACAAAAAAAAAAAACGGCTATTATCGTCATAAGATTTTCTACAAATCTCGCGAATCCCCTGCATACATAATTTGTACACAGTACACGATGAGAAGCGACATTGTAATAATGACAATTTCAAAATCTTTACTTATAATAAATTCCCATTTTTAGATACTTCTCTTTTTATGCTTGTAGCGAGTGTGTAGAAAAAAATACTTTTATACAGATAAACGAATATTATTATTCATTTTTTGTATTGGTACATACAGACACACACACACGCGCGCGCGCAAAATCTTCAAAGTTGATCTAAGAGCTTTTACAAATATATCCAAGATTTTGTATTAAATTGTTATTTTATGCAACACCCACACATAAGACTTCGTAAAAAAGTAAAAAACAAAAATAACTGGTATATGAAATCTTTTTTCTAAAAAATTTCACATTTTATTGCGAGCAACAGAAACTATAGTGTTTTTCTTGTTCTTAACTTAAATTGTATAATGTGTCTAGAAAAAAAGAAAGATGAGTGTGTAAAACGATTGTAAGAAATATACGCGATATATTGTGTATATTAAAATATCACACTAAAAAATTGCATATCTCTGCAGAGAAGACAACAATACAAAAAAAAAAAAAAAAAAAAAAAAAAAAAAAATGAAATATATGAACACTATATTGTGGAGAAAAATAATTAAAATCTATTTACGTATTAATATGCAACGTATACA